ATGTTTTCAGAGGATGCTTGTAGAAATTAAGTCTTTAGTTGAGGGGAGTTGAGCTACAGAATGGAGAAATTCTTTTTGATTTTTGCAATCACATACTTGCTTGGAGCCCTCACTGGAATCTTCTTCAGCTGAGGGAAATATTTCGATAGAAAGTACATAGCTTGCAAAATATGTTTCTGGATGTGGTTTCTACCATTTCCTTTAGATAACTGTTAGCATAAGTGTTGAACAATATTTTTTCTGTTTTATTCATTTCTTCATTTTTTTCCTTGTCTCTTCTCACTGTTATTGTATACTTTTTATTAAAATCCATTTACTTTGAATTGTGATGGTATGACTTTAGAATATTCTCAATATTTTCAAAGTGTTGAAATGTCAAAGAAAAAAAGAGTTCATACTCCTTGTCATTGGACTAGAAGCCTAGGGCTTGGTTGTTAGATGCAGGATCTCAGCCATCTGTCATTTCAGCAGAGTGACACTTGAATGCCACTGACTTCTCCTTAAGGCACTTCTAGGGCTGAGCTAGAATCCAAGAGTTGGTTTCAGATGGAGAAATCTCACACCCTATGGAGTTAGCATAAAGTGCCCTTGATGTCTTAGTCTTCTTTCTTCAAGATCAAAATCTAACTGGGTTCTCTAGGATCAAAAACCTGCTAGTAGTCCTAACATATTTACAAGCAATACATATGAAGAAAACTATCACATTAAAAATTTTTGGTCACAATGCTTAGGGCTTAAATCCTATGATGTTTATAGACACATACCAAACCTAATAAAGGAAACTTCCTTTATTCAATCATAATTGTGCCATTATTTTAATTTTTCCACTGTGCTTACAATGGCAAGAAGAAATTTCTGCCACAATTTTGAAGATTCCAATCTAGTCATTCTACTAGATTCTCATTTATATTGGCATCACCATTAACTCCAGTATTAAGCCCGGTGGCCAGGAGTTCTATGTTGAACTTACTATATTATCTACTAAAAGAGTCTCCCAAGTCATCTCTCACTATGCTGATTACTCCTCTGCTTGTGGAGACCTTTTATTGCATTGCAGAGATCTGCATGATTATTACTAGACTTGCATGATTATCAGACCAACCTTTTATCACCCAAAGACCAGATAAAGATAACCAGATTAAATAGCTACCGTATATGTTCATTTCTTTCTGAATTTTGAACCATCAGCATATCCGTTCAACTTTCTCCCTGAGAATATTACATCTTGCACAACACAATTTCTACAGCTTCCAGAGATGTTAAGGCCTGAATATCATAAAGTGAATCCATCAATAAATCTATAGAAGCTCTACAGTTACATCTCCCCTTTTTCTATATGCTCTCATACTTCGGGGTTTTAGTTTTACAGATTATATTAGCTACTGACCATTAGGAGGCACTACACAACAAGGTTTTTTTTTCCTTATTATTTTTCCTATACAATTCAGGCCTGTATAGAGAATGCCTATGACTGAAAAGCACTAAAAAGGTTAAAAATGATTGTGTAATGTCTCCTACAAGTTAGCAGCCAATATAATATCTAAACAACTCTATATATTCCAGTTTATCCACGTCAACTCTTAAGTAATAGTAGTCATCATTATGTTCCAGCTTTCCTTCAGTTTGTAAGAAAAAAACATGTGGCTGCTTTCTGATGATGTACCACCAACCTTGAAAAAGCAAGGAAATTTGTATCAGGCCAAATGGGGGAGGGGGGATTGCCAGTTTTTATTTTCAACAAGTTCTGCAGTTGTGAATGTGACAAAGAACAAATCTAAGACTAAACCACACTTTGTCAGAGTGGATGAGGAAGAAAGAAAACTAACTTCATAAGCAACCCACATTTTCTGTGTGATAAACCTACTTCTTTATTTTCTCATCTATCTTAAGAAAAGTGAAAGACCAGTTTTTCTTCTCATAGGCATAAGTATTTCTTTAAGCAGATTCTTTTGCTTTAGTTCCAATTTGTGTCACACAAAGTTAGATCACATACAGAAGATCTTCCTAAAGGACAAAGGTCGCCTTAGTTTACAAACAGGTGACACCCACACACATTCAGAGAAGCAACATGTAATTAAGTAAGAGTGGTTGTTTATAGTTAATCTACCATATAGGTCATGTTTACTAGGCAACTGACTGATAGTAGTTTGATCCCGTTCTGTGCTTCAAACTCACTTCTGCAAGATGCTCCTGCTTTTCAGATGTTATCTGGATTTTTGAATATGGGATATTCATGGACTGCACTAATGGAGTTCCCAGTTAATTGATGTTTTTTATCACTAGAGAATGGCCGTTGCTGCCAAGTCTGAACAGAAAGGGATGGCATCCAAGACTATATGTTTCTTCTTTCTTGAGCAGATCTGTACTATACATGGTCTTTCCTATTCATCACTTATCAGCTTACTTAACCAGCTCTCCAATGGAGACATGGTGTACATTCTGATATCACCACCATCATATTCCAGATATTTGTACAATGTTAGCTTTTGTACCTCAAGTGTACTCAATCCAAGAGTCTAGGACAATTTACTGGGGCTGCCTGCCATGCCTGCTTCACCCAGGGTCCCCCACCACAGCCGATCCACCATGGGCATTCATCTTCAGCTGGTGCTCCACCAGTGTTTCCCCCCCACCACTGCTCCTCTGCCCCTGGTCTCCTGTCCATGCAATTTGCAAAGGGACACTTGTCCCCCAGCCAATTGGCTTAGAGGGACAATTAGGCGAGCATCTTGGCAGCCAATCTGCGTGACAAGGAGTGGGACTCTGTCCACCAATTGGATGTGATGGCACGGGGTGCGGCGGGCAGTGCCCCACAGTGTGGGCAGATGTGGTGCTAGATGAGGTAAACAATGGCCTTGGATGCCAGGGACGCAGGGCACATGACAGCTGCTGTTCAGGGCAACCGGGCTGCTCTCTCCACCAGACAAACCTTCCTGAGGGCAGCAAGCACCCTGCCGTGCCCAAAAGGAAGGCCTGAATTTCACCCTGTGCCTTCCGCTACTGCCGCCACCTGTTGCATCCTGCCTAGCTCTGCTCTGCACCCAGCTCCTTTGGGATGTTCAAGCCTTCCTTTTGGGGGTGGCAGGGCACTTTGCCACCCCTGAGAAGGTGCACTTGGCAAAGAGGAGCAGCCCAGTTCCCCTGCACTGCAGCCATCATGTCCCCTGCATCCCTGGTGCCCAAGGCCATTGCTTACCCCACCTGGCACCACCATGTTCAATGAGAATATAGAGACCCACCTTTTGGTGTATGGATTGGCTGATGGCTAATTGTCTCTCACAGCCAATTGGGTGGGGACAAGTGTCCCTCTGCGAATCACCTGGAATGAGGAAGTGGGGGCCCAATAGCGAAGGAAAACCCCACTGGAGGGCCAACCTAAAATGAACACCTGCAGTGGATTGGCTGCACCTGAGGGTCTGGAGTGAAGCGGGAATGGCTAGGGAGTCTTGGCCAATTGTCCCATTCTGCCATCCAACAGCTCTTTGTTTGCTGTCAAGATGAAAGAAAACTCTATTCGATTTTTGGGAAAAACATTGTCCACTAACAGTCAGCTCTGTCCCTAGTCCATGTACTAGCATTAGGACTTCTGGAACTTGGTTGATACCTTGACCTTCATCCAGAACTGCAGTTCTTTCAGTGGTCACATGAGTATTTGCATAAAACACTCAGCACCCTTTCTATAAGTATATCTGGTGCTCTGTTTTTCTGAAAGGCTACTAAGACTGTTTTGGAGAATTTGTATGAATGTTACCCAGAAACACGTGTTCAAGATAGTGTGATTTCCACCAAAAAGTTATCTATAGTGCTAGAAGCATCCAACATCACCACTTTTTATAAATGAACAGATGACCATTTGAAAAAACTAGTATTGTAATAGATAAAAACACATCTGTGGGACCTGAGAAAGAAAAGAAAAAAGAAAGCACCTTATTGACGGACTTTTCCAATCTTTGCCTGCCTGAAGCTTCTTTCAGAAGTATTGTACCATAACTCCCAGAATTCCCAACCAGCATGGCCAGTTGCCACTCTAAAGAAGATTTCTGGTGGAACACTAGTGAGTCTTTAGATTGGTTTACCACACGATGAAAATATTTGATTCATGGGGAACAGGAAGTTTTATATGAGAAAACTCTTCTGCTTACTTGCTACATAGCAGCTATTGAATTTGAAGTCTGGCAGCCGCTCCATATTATAAGCTTTTACTGCTAGGTTTACATATCAGTATATACATTACATATTTTTCCTCCTTCTGTTATGTATTCAAGATGGACAGTGATTAGTATTTATATGTTGCTTATATGTAAGGGTGTACGTCTATACACATGTTGTATATGGTATGTTTAAATGTGTATTATTTATGTGTACACTTTGAGAGCAACTAAATTTCATTTTTAATGTGTGCCACTGTGCCCACAGTAAAAAATGTCAATAAAGGTTATCTATCTATCTATCTATCTATCTATCTATCTATCTATCTATCTATCTATCTATCTATCTATCTATCTCACACTATTTGTTTTAACCATCAAAGAAACAAAATAAATACTTATGGAATAATATAATGTATAACTTAATATATAACTTCAATTCCCAGAATTCCTCAGTACATCTAACTTAAAATTCCTGAATTTGAGAAACACTGGTTTATATATACCACAGTAAAAGGAAAAGTTATCATCTGGATTCTAAAATGTTTATGTTTGTGTCCCATCTTGCAGTCTCAGAACATTTACTATTATGTCTTCAACTGTGAAGGCAAGAGTTGAAGATGGACAACAATTAAAAGCATTGGAACAGATTGCCTGTAAAAGAGACTGCTAATTTTCTGTAAATTTTTATTATCTTTCAAAGACATGTGAAAACTCTTTGGCTATGGAAGAGAGAGAGATAAAAAGAGAGAGAGAGAGAGAAGGAGATTGACCATGACCAAACTCATACCTTTGATTATGTCCTCCAGCAATAAATCCCTCTTAACTCTGTATTGTAATACCCACATTTACCTTTCCGTTTCTGTGATTTGGAGAGAGATGGGCAGACTGGATTCTCAGATTCCTTGGGTTTATTTTCCAAGACTTTGTGGGATGTGATGACAATAATTAGGAAGGAAGGAAGGAAGGAAGGAAGGAAGGAAGGAAGGAAGGAAGGAAGGAAGGAAGGAAGGAAGGAAGGAAGGAGGAAGGAAGGAGAAATAAATTATCCCTCAGAAGATAAAGCAACAATTTTCTCACACTTTCCTTCTTTCCTTATGTTTGGCCTGCAGTCTTTTTTAGAGCAATTGTTTCCCACTGCTTCTCTGTCTGCAAATAAATCCACTTATCTGCAGTACTTTCATTAGTAACTCTGAGAAGATTTCCAGAATAGTCTTGCATTTATCTGCAAATGGCAGCAGAATATTTTTTTCTACCTGCTGGAATAATTTCCTACCGTCTTCACACAGAGTACATCCTTCTTGCCTGGTGAAACTATTAATTCTCTTGGTGAATATTTCACCCAGAATTAGCTTTTGAATTCTCCTGGAATTCCCCTGCCTAGGGAAGTCCACATTTCTGGAGAACATTAAAGTTGGACCATATATAGTTTATTACAGAAGAATGGGAAAAAGCAGTCCTACTTGCAAATACTTCATCTGCATTACTTCAAGATAATCATGGGAGAATTATCCCTTGCTGCTGTTCAATGTCAGCGCTGATGGTTTATCTTACCAGTGCATTGTCTTAGCAGTCTTCCTTTGGAAGCTGGACCCTGCCCCTGGGATTCTGTAACAGACAATAAAGAAATATGAACCAGAAACACATTGTTGGTGCTTTATATGCTGGGGGGAAGAGAGACCTGTATTACAACTCTATGCTTTCTTTTGTTTTTAAGAGAACAAACTTCTAACACTGATGATTGCTCAGCCTAAGAATCAGTCAGTCATAACTCCTGGCTCCATTCTATGCTACGCTGGAGAAGTTCAACCTCTATTCTTTCTGCTGATTAAAAGCAGCATCATGCAGTTAGATTTCATGAGAGTCTGAAATCCGCAAAGTCTGCTTTAGAGCACTAGGCGACCAGCGTAAGTTTCAAACCTTTGCTCTGGAATAGCTAGAAAAAGAAAATATGTGGACAGCGGGCCTGGGGGTGGAAAAAAAGAAAAATGTCTTCTATAGATTCCACCTCTCCCATCTTGCAGCTCCTTCCTGCTGAGGAGAAAGCTGGTTTCCTAGGAGACTGGCAGCTCCCTGTAGCTAGGATAGGAAGGTAAGTGTATGTGTATGTGGAGAGGGGGAGACAATTACAGATTTCTCTCTGACAAAGGTGCTAAACGAAGGGAAATATATTCAGTACATACAGTATGCCCCTAGTGAGTGGGATCCATAGGTAACAGCAGGAAAAAGCTCTTTAAATAGAAGTGTGTCACTACAGTAACAGCCCAAAACTAAACTAAAACTAAAAACTAAAACTACCTGCCTATAACTGCTTGACCTCAGGAATTAACCCTCCTCACTCCCTATTCCTCACAATACCCTTTGAGATATCATCCCAGGTCCAAGCGAACACATTTTTTAATTTATTGCAAGTGATCATCTGGTTCAGTTAAGGTTTGAAAGCAAAAACTGAAAACTCATACACAAAAACGGACAGGGACTTATTCATCTTTCAAAAAGAAAGGAAAAATTCAGAATTCGATGCAAATATTAAGTTCACACGAGATAATTTCAACTGTAGCCTAGGAAACAAGGCAGTGATTGTATTACCTGGGCTTCTAAGGCCTGCCTCTGTAGCCTACTTGAACGCATCTTGGAGCAATTGTTTAAAACAAAATATTAGACTTTTTCTCTGTATCAAACAAAAAGCCAGTGCAATTCTTCAAAATGCCTTTGGATATTCTGATTGTGGACTTCAATAATGCAATAATCCCAGGCCAGCTTTTTCTGCTTGTCACGCTCCAGATGTAACTCCCATAATGCCCAGAAAACCAAGGAAACTTGCCTTCCTTCCCTTTCTGCCCAGAAACCAAGCATGTAAATGTGCTAAATAGTCCAGTGTTTCTCAACCTCAGCAACTTTAAGATGTATGGACTTCAACTCCCAGAATTCCCCAGCCAGCACATGAATTCAGAGAATTGAAGTCCACACAACTTAAAGTTGCTGAGGTTGAGAAACACTGCTATAGAGTGACATGGAGGCCGAGAGGCCACATAAGGAGCAATAAATTATTCCTATCATGTTAATCAAACAGGGTAAACAAGCACAGTCAGTGCTAAGCAGCCAATAGTGGTACTTGACTGATTAAAAATAAACTTATGAGAACAACTTTTGAATAAGATGTATTTTCAAAATGTGCCTGTCTCAGCACTGCCAAGCTCAGCCCGAGAGCACTGGTTTTCCCGTTAGTTTGCCCTCTCCTTTCTGAATCGCTCTTTGTCTGGCTTACCTCCTGCTTTATACAAGCCAGTCATCTCCCTCACAGAGTCATCTGAATCCTGAGCTTCTTCTTCTTCTTCCTCCTCCTCTTCCTCCTCCTCCTCCTCCTCCTCAACATCTTCAGCATAATCTTCATCCACCCAGGAACTGTTGGATTCCAGATGACTTTGTGCTAGGCGTTGCACAGCTGTCATTAAAGAAAAAAAAAAGATGACAATGCAGAAATATTATAAGAGAAATGGGAAGGTGGGGTATTTAGTTTGCTTTTTAGAATTGTAAAGATTTTTTAAAAGATGCTTGTAGATTCTAATGGCATAAATAACATCAATAAACAAAAAAGCCAGCCCATCCTTAAAGCAATAGTTGTAAGATGTTTTAAAAAATCCAAAAATCATTAGGCAGATTTCAGATTGCCTGAACTGCACCAGCTCTAAATTATTTGTTCCTCTCCCCTCCCCCAATATCTCTCCCAAGAAATATTTTGTAGTGAATACAAAATGATGTTGTGTCCTTGGTACAGTCAGATTGATGAGATCAGCCTGGCATCTGCTGGCCACTTTAAGCTGGTGCAGGCATGCCCCTATCGCCCTGATGCCTGGGCATTCTCTTCCAGGACAGTGGGAAAATTTGTTTATTTTTTTCAAACTGTATCCTAGCCCCTCTGTTCTTCAGGTCTCCAAGTTGATTCCTGGTTCAGAAATGGGGACCAGCTAAATAGCAGCTGAGTGATGGCAGTATACAGTGAAGCAGACAGACACAAAGTTGGCTCATTCTCTGCTGCTTTGTGGTACGACTTTCCCTGATTCTATATGTTGTTGCTCAGGCTGTTTTGAGGTTGGTGCTCCGATGGAATAGTTCTTTCTAACTACTGATAACAACTAACAGTGAGGTTCCTGCTAAAGTTCCTCAGATGCTAGCAATAATTCTCTTTGAAATTTAGCACACTGACATGGAATCTAGGGCATCACATGTCTCCATATCTCCACATGAACATCCTTTACAATAGCCACAGCAAACTAAAATAGAACAGCTTTTACCAAGCCACAGAGAAGTTATATATAGAGACATAATACAGAGTTAAATCTTGGATTTCTTTATGTTAGCCTAACAAAAAAAGGACTTTTCTTACGTTTGGCTATTATGTCCATCTGCACAATGTTTTCATAACAGATTTCTCTGCTTCCAATCTTCCCTCTTCTCATCTTGCTAACTTCAACCCTGACAGCTTCTTCTGAACACACCCGCACAAAATATTTGTTCAAAACCAGTGCAAGTTTTGGCAGATGGCTCAACACACTAGCCTAGCCATCTGTTAAAACCCACTTTCTCTCCAAACTCAGCTCTGCCCAACATTAAAAGGATGACTGGTGGATACATTTCTGCCAGTGATGTTTGGTGGGAAGGAAGGCAAGCAAAACTGGGGGAATCCACCTGCCCTATCCTTAACTGCCCTATGAACTGAAATTAAGGTCAGCAGCATTTGCTTGTGTAATTCCTGTGGCAGAATAGGGATAGGTAGACAGATTTCACTAGTTTTGTTTTACTAGGGGGGGATTTTATATTAGAATAGTTTTTGCTATTTCAAACACAAATGGAAGGCTCTTTTGATGTGAGGAAGAGCTCTGAGTTCAAATTTCAACCCAGAAATTGAACCACACTGGGGAATTATGTCTCAACTGCCCTGTTTTTAGACTGCTGTTTTGTGAAAAAAAGAGGAGAGGACAAATATACAACCTGAACTCCAAGAGGAAAGATAGGATATGCATATAATTTTAAAACTTTAAAGAACAATGTAAAATCAGTTTCATCTCTTATGCCAGCTCTTTGCTAACAAGGTTGAAAAACTAAAGGTTATTAATCCTGAATATTTGAAAAAACTCATTGCATAAAAACCTGGGGCCTTCTTTCCCTGAGAACTGAAACCTACTATGATGATTTTGAAGCTGGTGCCACGGTATCCAGAACACCCACTACCACACCCACACTGGCAATCTTGCAGCCTGAACTCAGGATTTGCAATGTCCAATTTTGCCAGAACTGCAATATCAAAGAGAATTGGTCTAATAGTCCTAGTAGACAATCACTTAAATATGAGCCAGCAGTGTGCGGCAGCTGCCAAAAAGGCCAACACAGTACTAGGCTGCATTAACAGAGGGATAGAATCAAGATCACGTGAAGTATTAATACCACTCTTCAATGCCTTGGTAAGGCCACACTTGGAATACTGCATCCAGTTTTGGTCACCACGATGTAAAAAAGATGTTGAGACTCTAGAAAGAGTACAGAGAAGAGCAACAAAGATGATTAGGGGACTGGAGGCTAAAACATATAAGGAACGGTTGCTAGAATTGGGTATGTCTAGTTTAACGAAGAGAAGGACAAGGGGGGACATGATAGCAGTATTCCAATATCTCAGGGGCTGCCATAAAGAAGAGGGAATTAAGCTATTTTCCAAAGCACCTGAAGGCAGGACAAGAAGCAACGGGTGGAAACTAATCAAGGAGAGAAGCAACCTAGAACTAAGGAGAAACTTCCTGACAGTGAGAACAATTAATCAGTGGAACAGCTTGCCTCCAGAAGCAGTAAATGCTCCAACACTGGAAGTTTTTAAGAAGAGACTGGACAGCCATTTGTCCGAAATGGTGTAGGGTTTCCTGCCCGAGCAGGGGGTTGGACTAGATGACCTCCAAGGTCCCTTCCAACTTTACTATTATTATTATTATTATTATTATTATTATTATTATTATTATTATTATTATTATTATTATTAATACCTATGGCCAATCTACACAATTCTCCAAATTTCACTGCTAGTATTCTAGCAGAATTTTAAAACAAAACATACAATTCTTCCAAAGATTGCAGTAAGTGTTGTAATGTATTTACTGCAGTATGTTAAACTAATAGCCTATATATCATATGATATCACTGAAAGAATATAAATACCCTTGACTGGAAGCAAAGGGAGGGAGAATCTTCTGCCAATTGGAACCATAGCAAGAAGAACAAGAAATCCAATGATTTACAAATCATTTGTTGAGAAATCCTCTACATTATGTTTATGGCACTAAATCATGAGCTACTTCACTTGCTTTGATGGATCTGATTTGATAGCCCTCAGGGAATGGTGAAAGCATCCAGAGTAACAGCTCATTTCATCTCCTGGTTTTGATTCAACAATCTCATTGATGTATTAAGTGTGAAAAGAATTTCTTTGTATGCTTAAATCTTTTTCAGTCTTGGTCACAAGCAACTTGAAGTACGGGTACACGAAGAAGAATCAAAATGGAATAGAACATGAACTAGTCAATAATTAAGGACTCAAATGGAATATTAGCAGTCTTTTCTTGATCAGTGCCTGAAGGCATTCCCTCCAGATTTGCCTCCTGTCATCTATATCCAGTTGCTTTTTTTGACAAGGCGCTCCAGCAAGGCCATTACTTACAGGAAAAAACCTCCAGATCTTGCAGTTCAAACTTTATCTTGGCTCTTTATCCTGTCCTTTTGATCTAAACATCAGGGCATTTTTTTTCTCAATTTATTTTTAGTTTGCCCGAATGTTCTCATAAGATCCAAAAATGATTAGTGATACATCCAGTGGTTATATATCTTTTACTATAAAGGACAATCCTTTATTTCAGAAAGCTGTTTTTCAGATGTCCTTTTGTTTTTCAAAACCCACTTTTGTTTTTTATTTTAGTCATTTAACTTTTACCATATAAATGGTTCAACTTTTAATGCATCATCTTTCACATTCATGTGGAAAATATGGAAATTGAATTGTCTTTTAAAAATAAATTTACATATTCTGTTGGGTTTTATATATTATTGGAATATGCAAAACAAGTTTTTCTTGGTTTTGCTCCTGAATTTTTCTTTGTAAAGCAAAGTTAGAAACAATTAATTTTCTTTATCCTTATAAATCTCTTTTAGATTTGCCTCTTTTTCAAGTCTGTCCTTTATTTTTCAGAGAAAATAAGTTCAATGTAATTATAAGCTTGTCCAGAGAACAAATGCATGTTCTGACATGACTTTGACTTGACAGGTACAAATCCCCCTACGTTTGTAATACTTTTCCCAGTTCTAATGGACAACCCTCCATTTCAGAAAGTTAGCAAAAGAGGACAAAATAAGACATAGATTTCCATAAAATAGGCATATGACAGTTTTTACAATGATGTCCATTTAAACATTATTCCTAAATAGATAGTCCTCACTTAACTGCTGCAATTGGGATCTGCAATTCTGTCACTTAATGTGCAATTCATTTAATGTGGTCATTAAATGAAACATGACATGACTATGCTGGATTTATAGTGGCAGTTCCCCTGTGGTCATTTAGCGAATCACTATAGGTCAGTGATGGCGAACCTTTTAGAGACCGAGTGCCCAAAAACCTGCAGGTGGCCCGCCCCCCGCTCCACTCTCCGCTCCGCCCGCCTGCAGGGCTACTCACCAAAGATCGCCCAGGCAGCCTTGCAGTGCCATGACGGCCACGCCCTTCACCCGCACCCCGCAGCATCATCTGCATGTGATAGGACGCAAGGGCAGAATCTTGCCCCTGCTGCCCGGCTGCCATGTGCTTGGCTGCGCTGCTACGTGTGGGCTGCGCCTAGTGGAGCCTCTCCTCTGGGCAGGCTGCTGGTGAGGAGGGGGTTGGGGGGGAGGCAGGGCTGGGGCAACAGCACACATGCCCACAGAGAGGGCTCTGAGAGCTACCTCTGGCACACGTGTCATAGGTTCACCACCACTGCTATAAGTAGTTAAGTGTGGCATGACATGACTGGAACTCGTGACTTCTTGCAGGTTTCCACATTGACTTTGCTTGTTGGAAACTGTCAGAAAAGTTTGCAAATGGCAATCATGTCACTATGGGTTGCTGCAACCATTGTAAATAGATGCCAATTGCAAAACTATCAAATGGTGAGGATGCTATGACAGCCACAACTTTAAGGTCTGGTCATAAACCTACTTTCAGCACTGTCATAATTTTGAACATTCACTGAGTGAAGCAGTCTGTAAGTGAGAATGATCTGTAGTTTAAATGTAGATACAGTTTGAATCCAAGACTTAATCCCTACTTCTCTGCCCACCTATGCGGAGGGGAAACCATTTTTCCTCCAGATCCTTATCAAAAGAGACATCCACAACTTTTTCTCCCCTTAAACAGTATGCAGTATTGTCATC